TGGTTTTCAAAAAGAGGATGATGATGTCATAGCTTTTAAAGAAATTAAGCCAGCTGATGAAGTTTACAAATCGTTTTTATAATTTAAGTCCATTTTGTTTATAAAAGATATCAGACCTCTGGAATGTATTTTGTTGAGATGGACTTTGAAGTGAACTGAAAAGCAAATGAATGACCATAGAAAACCACTCAGATAATAAAACCTTAAAATGGGTTTGGGGGTAAGAAGAAATGGAACTGTATAATTCTGATTCTATTTATCATTACCTTGAAAATACTTGTTTGAGGTTTTGTTGAATAAGTGTATTTTACAGCTATTATAATTTATATACTTTGATTTGCTTCTGTTGCCTAAATCTTCAGAAGTTAAATAGGAGAAATACAACACCCGGTGTTTTTAAGAATATGGTTGCAATGGAGAATAACTACTTTTTTTCAAAGTTATATTGTATTTATTTTTCTTTTTCAATTTGGAAAGCTTCAGGACATCAGCATCATATGCAAAAATCCTCAGATTAACAGTCTGACTCAGATTATGATAATGTTATATAGTTGCTTTCTTATGCACCAAATGTTCTCAGTCAGAGAAAATGATGGAATTACTTAAACCCCTAGGGAAAATGAACACATTCTAATTTCTTACTAAGATATTGCTCTCTTTATGTCATGCTGTCTTCACATTGAGAGGAAGATTGAATTTGGAATCAGATGGCTTAAAAATAATGCCCCATTTTAATGCAATTAGGAGCCTTCTAGGTAGATCAGAGAACTTCAGCTTTTAAAAACAAAGGTTTAAAAAGTTCAAAGATAAATTTTCTTTTCTTATTTTAAGCAGTAAATTGAAAGATACAGATCATTGCTTGTTTTAGTGGTTCTAATTATTGAGACATCTGGCATTTTCTTCTTTTATTAGGTGGAAACTGTAACTCTGTATACTAAAATTTAATTATATACTTTAGTATTAAGAAGGTATTGTCTTAATCTATGGATGTTTTAATTTTATCAAAATATATTTCATATTAAATTGAATTATGTACTTCTCTTTTACTAAAAGTATGATTATAAAAAAATACACAAAGTGAATGACATATTACAATAAAGTGTACTAGGAAATTATTGAACTGGATCTTCCAGGAACCAAACTTTGATTAACTTCTAGTCCTTAGGAACTATATTATTCCAAACACTGAAAATTACAACTAGTGTTGTAAATTTTAGAATTAGAAAGCATATTATTTCAAATTACAGAAATTGCTGTTAGTATTAGATAAATTTCAGGAAATTTAAGTAGATTAATTCTCACTGTGTGAATGAAAGATTGTCAAATTTATTACATTGTTTTCAATAAAATGAGTACCTGACTTTCAAAATACGATTATCTAGGATATTCAGAATGTTTTTAAACATGATTCGGAACCTACTACAAAGTGAAAAAATACCAGCTCCCAAAAATACCATAGTGAATAAGCTAAGAAAAGGCATCTAAGTAGAAAAAATGAAACAAAATTTTACATTACGTTTTTTTTCATGTATATTCAGTTTGCTAAAACCTAAGAGTTTTTCTTCTAATATTTTCACCAGTGCTATCATGAGTAGTTCAGAGACTCCATGGATGTTTAGATAATGGGTGTTTTGGAAGCATCAAGAGGTGATAGCTAAAATCAAGGGGAAACTTATAAATAAATGCAAATAAAGTAACTCAAAAACCATAATTATATTTGATTATTTAATGTACAAATGAACCTACCCACCACAGCTATCCTTGAACCGTGTGCTAATCAATAAAAGGGCAATAAATTTTATGATGTTCTTCTGACATTAATGAACGTTATTTTCAACATATCACAGGAAGGAATAATATATGTAACATTATATTTTTCCACTTTCTGTTTTTGTAGTCTGCTTCAATTATACACTTAATGTGTTTGTTTTTAAAAACTAATAGTGAAAATATGTGAAGAGTATTAGCATCTGTTCTCTAAGTCTATATGATGCCTCCATCACAAGGTAAAAATTGTTAGCAGCTTGAGGTACATGGTTTTCTCATCTACCTCATTTTTATACAAACATATATACTCAATAAACATAGTTTTAATGTAGACACATTTTAGCATAATGAAATAATACTATATACAGAATGTGAGAGCCCGATTATTATTACTATTTTAATCTTATAACAGCACATTGTTTTGCAAGTATTTTCTGATTGCATCTTTTCTATTTTTACTTTAGAGTACCTTCTTTAGTATTCCTTAAGAAAGCCTCTCTCAAAAAATACTGAACTTTTTATCTTTCCAACGTACATACTTTCCTGTGTTTAGAATATATTACTATGAGATCAGATTCTGGCATCAAATTTTGTTCTACTACCGAATTAAAATACCATCTTTGCGATTATTTAATTCAAGCTTATTTTGGGCTGGATTTTCTTTTTACTTTCTACATATATTTGTTTTTATTTCGATTGTTGATGTTTAATGTCATTTTGTTATGTTTCCATATTATACTTTGTGTGATTTCAGTTCTCCTGAGTTGAGTAAGATGTATAATATGATCAGAATGTGTCTCATGTGAACCTGAAAAGAACTTGTATTCTGTTATTATTTGTTTGACTATTCAATGTAAATTATGTAAAGATTCCTCATAACTGATCATGTTGTTCAGATCTTCTATAACCCTAATGTGTTAGGATCATTTGTTCTATTTATAGGTCATAAAAGATTGTTGCAATCTCCGTTTATAATTGGGGTTTGTCCATTCCTCCATTTAGGCCTATTATATTTTTTTTCCTCAGGCATTTTTGGTGTTCATTTTACATATATGACACATTCAGAATAATTATGTCTTTTAATTGAACTCTGTTATCATGTGATGTTTATTTTTATAACGGTAACATTCCTTATTCCATATTCAGATTTATTATTAATATGTTCAGTCTGGCTTTCTTTTCATTAGTGCTTCATGATGCATTTTTTACAGCTTTTAATTTCAATATAGTATGTCTTTTTATTTGCCTTGAGGAAAACATACCTAAGTCTTCTTGTATTTTTATCCAAGCTGATATTCCTTGACTTTTAATTAATATGTTTAAAGCACTTACATTTGGTTAGTTATCAACATGGTTTAATTGCAATCTACATTTTGTTCAGTTATTTATTATTTTTAACTCTTTTTTGCAATTATTCTCCTCTTACAATGCCTTATGTTAGAATCAATTAACTATTTTTATGACTTCATTTGGTCTGCATTTTAGTTGGTTATTTTTATGACTTTTTAAATGTTTTTGATGGTTCCCCTATGATTTACAACAGATAAATTTAATGTGTCATTCACAACATTCAAATCATGTTTTTTGTTCTTTTATCTATAATACAAGGACTTCCAACTTTAATTTCTCCCATTTTTTAAAATATTTCATTTTTTAGTTGTAGATGGACAATATCTCTATTTTATTTTTATGTGGTGCTGAGGATTGCACCCAGGGCCTCGCACATGCTAGGCAAGTGCTCTACTAGTGAGCCCGGCCCTCTCCCATGTTTTGTACTATTTTTTTCTACATCATTTTCCCCTTCCCTTCTCCTACTGGTATTTAATTGCATCTCTATCAAACTCTTCTATGATGATGCATAGCTCTTGTATGTTCTCTTAACTTCTCCCCCTCCTCTTTCTCTTCCTTCCACAGAGGTCTTACCTCTCTGCTAATGATAGAATTATTTAATGGTCTAAACTGAGGATATTCTCCTGAATCCTTCCCAGGAACAACATTTTCCCAGGGTGCTGAAGATCCTTATCCATATTTTTAGAGTTAGCCAATATTTGACTCTCCTCTGGAATTTAAGTCTTTGTTCCATGAGGGACACAGGGATGATGGATGTAGGTGAGGCTCCACACCTTTCCTCCAGCAAATGTTTCTTCTCAGGTGACTTCCTTGGGTCTCTTTTCCTGCTCTGTCTACCTTGAAAACGTTTTCTGGTGTCTGTGGAATAGTGTCAGTCAAATGGAATCAATCCCTCTTCTTTTTGTGGCTTGCAAAGTTGAGTTCCTATCATGATAACTCACTCTCAGTCTTCAGACATTCCTTAAAAAATTCAATTTGATTTGTTTTAATAGCTTATGTCCCATCTGCTGTCTGTTAGGGTAAGCAAGGGCTCTCATCCCATCTCCTTTGGGAGGCACCTGTACTTTTATTTTTAGGATCTGTTTTTTTTTTAAGGGCTCAAAATACTGATATTATATCTGATGCTATTTAGGACAGACACCTTAGTGACACCTCTGGCTTATCCAGGTTAAACCATCTTTGGTACCACATAGCTGAATTTCTGTCATTTCTCTATGCTCACTCCCTACTCCCCAGTAGGCAGTGCACCCTACACCCCCCACCCCCGTAACACATTTGTAATTAATTGTAATAATTGCCTTGTGAGGGAAGCAGAAAACAGAGTAATTGTGTAACACTTCATGATGGTTATTCTTTGGTCAACAGTTTTAACTGAAGTACCACAATCGCCATAATTCTAGCAAGATACAGGTAGCATTGTTAAAGTTTTAATCATTTTATATTTTTAATGTTTGTGTGAAAATAGTATTTTAATTTCTTTGAATGGAAATAAATTTCATTTCTTTATAATAATAGTGTTATTCATATGTATATACATATATACATACATAAATATATAGATTAAAACATTTATCACAATAAACTTTATTCAGAAAAAGCTTGAACAGTAAAATGTAAATAATGTTTAATTACAGTACTAACTGCCATTGAATGAATGATTAAGTAGTACCAGATGCTTTCTGGTTAATTAATTCTCACAATACTCCTCATATTACTCTCTGAACTTTACTGTGAAACAAATTTCTCAAGATGAAATGTAAAGCCCTACCTCTCTGACTATCCAGTAGGTACCATTCACTAATTATCTGTTTTGTTGATGTGTTTTGCTTTTGGGTGATGAGGTCTTCCATATTTAGCTAACCATTTTCTTTCTTTGCATTTAGGATTTGATACCAGTATTTTGCCCATTTGCAAGGATTCACTTGGGTGGATGTTTAACAGACTCGATACAAACTATGACCTACTGCTGGACCAGTCAGAGCTGGGGAGCATTTACCTTGATAAGAACGAACAGTGCACCAAGGCATTTTTCAATTCTTGTGACACATACAAGGACAGTTTGATATCAAACAATGAATGGTGCTACTGCTTCCAGAGACAGCAAGGTAAAAGATGAGACACCTGTACATGCAAATAATAGACCTCCATTTCAAATTTTATGTAATCTTTCATGATGAAAGAAGTAACCATACTCTATGCCTCATTCATTTCACTAGATTTTTTTTGTAATTTGTGTGTTTATAAAAAAGAACCATAAGCAGCATGTTGAGCAAAGTAGCTCTGCTAAAAATGCAAACATGCTAAGTGAGATGAAAAATGGTAATTAATATTTTATATTAATGTACTTCATTATAGTTTCCATTATGAACCACCAAGAAGCACACAGAGATATGAGAACATAGATATTAAAAGTAATCATTAAAATTAATTTGCTATCTGCTTTGCCCATGGTGTAAAATAAATGGGTTTTTTATCACTGTACTGTGGAGTTTTAATGTTCTATTTTGTGATCATATTAAATGAGCTGAATGAACCACAGCATTTACCATAAAGTTATTTTTACTCATTTTTATTTTGAAATGACTAAGTCTTTCAACCTTTACAAAATAGTTCAGCCTTTCAAAAATTCACTAGCAAAAAAAGTGCTTCAATACTCTGGTAAAAATTAAGCAAGATGAAAAATTGAAATGCTGCTAATTCCTTATATACCCTTCTTTATTAGGAATGCAAACCAAATGTAAATTTGGAAACATGTTACAGAATCAAAGGAATTAGCAATTTGTACCAAGTGCATACAGAGAAATAGATCTAAAGTTCACATCACAATGAAGTTTTGGGAAACTTAGAAGATAATGCTATGTATAATTCTGATGCTAACTTAAAAACCTTGAAAAAAGTTTAATGTGATACACCTGTTCTTGCAATGCTTTTTAAGATTTTTGAAAGCTAAGAGAATGAACAAGCTACTTTAAATTATGTCAATGATTATCATATTCCATGTAGAAATATGAAAACATTTTATAGGGATTTCTCTATCTAAATTACTTTTCACTATTTAGTGATAGTTTTATAAGTAGAGATCAAATGATTATCCTTAAATTGCTAATCAGGATTAGCTGAGTAGTGTAGCTTAACTGTTTATAAACCATTTTAAAGCAAAGTTTAAAAAATAGATTTACTGTGTTAAAATTTTAATTGCATGCATACATAAACACATGTCAACTTTACTGCATATATGCTCTCTAGGTCATTAAACACTCCTAAAAATCTAGGCAAGCTTCAGTGGCACATACCTGTGTGTGAGTGTGTGTGTATGTGTGACTACTATACACATTATACATTATGTTGTGACTATTTAGAATTTCCTATTTCTCTACAAATATCCTCTTTGAAATGATTGAGTTTGAAAAATGGACAAATGAGGAATTCCAAATTTATTTAAATGTTTTGTTTATTTTTAAAATCATGGCTTATCAGAAATTATGGTGTATTGTGTCCTCTTTCTAAATTTTACATATATTTGGAGCATCTGGGTAACAATAGAAAGACCAAGGTACATTATTAACATTACACAATATTAGAATTTATGAGTTTCTCTGACACATCTTAAAAGAAGTATCAACTTTTCCATAGATTATAATGCTAAATTATTTCTCTATATCTTAGCAACTATTTTAAATGAGGGAAATTTCATCAATCGGTTAGAATTTCATTGCCAGGTAAGTTGACGCTTTAATAGTACATGATGGGAAATATTTTCATCATATAATTATTTTGCTGTTTTCTTTTGTCATCCAATTCAGTCATTCTAAGAAAAAACAACATGATGGGAGAGTGATAACTCTCATCCTGGACACACATTCTATATGAACGTTTATCTGTATAAGTAAGGAATATAACAAAACCAATATGTAATGTGTCTTCTAAAAGCATGTAAAGACTAAGTGAAGATTGATATCAAAGAAGTTACCCATTCTCTGTTTGACTAAAATCCTAAAGGTGACATTTTTAATGTCATTACAGACCCACCTTGCCAGACGGAGCTCAGCAATATTCAGAAGAGACAAGGGATAAAGAAACTCCTAGGTGAGTCATAGCTCATTCTTCTGAAGGCTTTATTGCTTACATAAATAACCCCAGAGAAACAGCAACATGAAATCAATATTAATCCAACAAAGATAGACTGCACTAAATTTCAGCAACAAAATTTATGAACTTTTTGAAAGCCATTAAACTTACTTTTATTACCTCACCTATTGAAAGATATTATGTCTGTTTTATTACCCTAATATAATGTTCATTTTGAAAGTTATTAAGTAAAAAGATATTTAAACAATAATAAAGTTAAAACGTCAGCAGAAACTTCTAATTCTGTGGTTAATAATGTAAGAATTGATGGTTATACAGATAGATAAATATAGATATACACACAGAGAGAATATATAAAGCAAATATTTTAAGGATGGGGTGAAAAATGCTGAGTGCATCAGAGAAGTTTGACTGTATTCTTTAGTGTTTTCATGAGTATTTTTGGCTATGTTACTTTTAGCAATGGAATGTATGTATGGATGAATGGATAGGTAAACAGGTAGTTAGATAGATAGACCAACATATAAATAGATAATTGCAAATTTTACCACGAGCCCCAAACTATTTGAATGTTTGGTAATCAAGACACCATCAAACCATTAACTTTGATTATTGTATGTTTCTTTAAGCTTAAACATTTTAAATAAAGTCTTCTTAGAATAATGCTAAATTCTTAAAAATTTGCAAAATTAGTACATAGTTTCCAGAAATCCTTTACCCAACTTTTCCTAAAGATAACTTCTTGCATACACCAAACAATCAGAGCACATTTGTAAAAATCTAAGAAATTAATATTTCTATAATCCTGGCAGCTATAAGGGTCAGGTTTTACTTGGATTACACCAGTTTTGTCACAGGTTTTCTTTTTGCATTTTGGTATATAAAGCAGGACAAAACTCAGGCAATGTGTCTTTTAAGTATGCTAATATATTTGTCTACTTAGTAGCATGTAACTTCATGATGACTCTGAATCTAATTAATCTGTTTTACATTTTGATGAGCTATCTTTGTTAATATGTGTGTGTGTGTACGTTCATATATATATACTAGCATATTTCTGTTATTAGTGTTCTCTCTCACTTTCAAAGTGAACTGGCATAAAATACATAAGAGTTTATGTCAAAAAAATGCTGGTTTAAAGTAGTAAATATTGGAAATTTGATTTTCTTATTTTTTGTGGCCTTAGATCCATTGAAAATGTTTCAAAGTTTTCCTTATTGGAGATAGTCCATCTGCTTCACTGGAAGATTAGTAGTTCAAATGAATTGTAATTTATAAGTTTAAATCAACCACCTATTTATCATATCAAAATTGTAAAACTCATTGAGGGGGTAAAATTATGATCTAATATGGTATAAGAATAAATGGTTTTCATATTCTAACTATATATTTAGGTTTTTTTAAAAAAATAAAAATGATGTTTCCATCATAGGAAAAAAAAAGTTCAGGAAAAAAAGAAACGTTTCTAATTTTCTAGAACTCACATTCTAATGTTTAAGTATTTAGTGAGGAATGTGACCATACTTATAAATTACTAACTAAACATTTATCTTTAGGAATATACCATATACTGTGCTATATATTATACAAATAGAAATAAATATCTCTTTCTGACCATTCCCACTAAACTGTGTTCTACAAGACTGAGTTTAAGAGATGCTTATACAACAATGAAAGTCAAGAGAACCAAAACATTCCAAACAGAGGATATGGCAGTGTAGTTTTGAATGTATCCAGTGATAATCTACACACATGCACACACACATGAGATGGAAGATATGTCATCTCCTCCAGTTTAGGAGAAGACTTCATATTGATGGCATATTTAAGTTGAGTCTTAAAATGAAACAATGAAGAAAAGGGATTCCAGTTGATATTAAAAGGCAGTGTGTAAAAAAGGTGAAACAGCATTAAATTGAGTGGTAATAGCTACGTGGAATGAAAAGATCTTGAAAAATATGAATGAAAACTTTGGAGAATGAAAATAGAAAGTTGTTAGTGATGAGATGATATAGGGTCTTGTACACCGTATAAGTGCTCCCAATGATTGAATGTGAGCATAGCATCACATAGTAATGCTGTACTACACCGCTGAAAACACTACACTTTCCAAAATGAGGCATGTTTAAATGGTAGTTTCCTTAAAACAGGATATGAATCCATAAGTTTTAATCAGTTCCTATGGCAATACCAGTTCCAGGACAGCAGAACACATACCTGGTTTCTTCTACAGATGTCACTAGTATGTAGCCTGGAATACAGTGGCACTTCACCTGTGTATGTCTTAAGGCTTATTGGTAAAACACATGCGTGCATTTGTGGGTGACAGTGTGCATATTTCACAGGACAGTACATCCCTCTGTGTGATGAAGATGGTTACTACAAGCCGACACAATGCCACGGCAGTGTTGGGCAGTGCTGGTGTGTGGACAGATATGGAAATGAAGTCATAGGATCCAGAATAAATGGTGTTGCAGACTGTGGTAAGGAGAAAGGTTATTTTAATAATTACCAAGCACAATAGTCAATACTGAGATCCTCATTAATTTGTCTAAGCACTTAATGAAGACCTGTCCTATGCAGACAGGTTAACTGCTATTTGACATAGATTATTTAGGAAAAGATAAAGAGTATACAATGAAAGTAATCTCATTTAATCCTTAAATTCCTCTTCTACATTAATTTATTCTGTATCATTTTTAGTAGTTGTTGGTTTTCTATCCTGTCCAATATGATTAGATTTCAGTGAGACATAGTACTCAATAACTATCTTATTTAATTTTAACATGTGGAGAATATTTCTTTATAATATGTAAGTTAAAGTGTTAGTACTACTAATTACTTCAGTTATTTGTGTTGCCAGTGGTGGATAAAATGTCATTTTTTTGTGAATGAAAATTATATGAAGATGAATTAAAATTAAATTTTAATTAATTAAATTAATTTTAATTTAAATTTAATTTAAAATTAAAATTTAAAATAAAATTTTAATTTAATTTAAAATTAAATTTTAATTAACCTTCATTAATTTTAATTCATAAGTTTGTTCACTAACAAAAATTATGTTGGAATCATGGACTTGTGAGATTTCTTAGCATGCTATGATTAAGAATATGCAGGAAATGGGAAAATAGAAACATTTTCTTCATATAAGATGGAAATTTCAGTATGTGTTGATTTCAACCAGTTCATAAACAATGAATTTTATTAATCGGATTTGTTATAATTAGATACGAAAGAATTATAAGAATTAATATTCAGAAGAGGTAAAAATGAAGACACACTGGCATTTGAGAAGCTGAAAAGTGAATACATACTGAGATATAAATGAGCATTATTACCTCCAGAAAAATTATTAGCTATTTCTAAAATATTTTTTAAAAATACTTTTAATAAATATTTCTTTTGTCAAAGTAACAAATTCCCTCCAACTTAGTGGCTCAATCTACAGAAATTTGTCATGTTGCCAATCTGTCACTAGTAGATCTCCGGTCTGTCTCACTAAGCTGAACATCACAGTATCAGCAGGGTGGTGCTCTTTTTGAGACTCTTGAAAACCAGTCTCCTGTCTTTCCTGCCTTCTAGAAGTCACACACATTCCTTATCTCATGGAGACTTACCTCCAAATTAAAACTAACTTTGCATCTCTTTGTCCATCCTTCTGTAATCATATCTCCTTTTGATTCCATCTGGGAAAGGTTTATTGATTTTAAGGACCCAACTGACAGTTGGGGTCTTCATGTATAAACTGGGAAAATCTTCCCCATTTCAAGTTATAAGGACCTAATCGCATTTGCAAAGTTTCCATTTAAGTTATCATTTATAGGTTCTAGGGATCATGAAGTAAATATTTGGGGGAGGGGAACAATTATTATGCAACCACACTTATAGAAGAAATTTTAAGCACTTTAAGATTCAGTATGTCATGTGAACTTCTATAAAAACCGGACTGAGATGAAAATTACTGAACTAGAAATCTTAGTATAGCATACCTCAACAATAATTTTGCTATTAGCACACAAATTTAAAAAATGATACAGTCTAACATGTAACAGTTTATCAAATAACTGATTTATTTCTCATCTTCATTAAAGTGATGATCAAATTAAAAATTTATTAATTTTCCTATTTTTCATTAGTATTTTATCTCTTGTATATATATCACCCCAATACTCAGTCAAAATAAATATAATGCTTACTTATTTTTAGCTATAGATTTTGAGATCTCCGGAGATTTTGCAAGTGGAGATTTTAATGACTGGACTGATGATGAAGAAGATGAAGATGACATCATCACTGATAAAGATGAAATTGAAGATGATGACGAAGATGAAGGGGATGATGATGATGATGGAGATGATCATGATGGATACATTTGATTAATGGCAGCTGAGGTCAATAAATTCTACATTTGTAATATTGACAAAGTGATTGCCTATGGAGAATTACCTTGTTGCCCCAAAACAAAATTATTTCAAACCTCATATATATTTTGTATAATTATTTCAAATATGGCACGAAAAGTCATAGAAATTTATGTTTAAATAAGAATTATTTACTTTAAGTTTTTGTATGTCTTAGAGAAAAAGAGAACATATATGCAGTATAGCCAGACAAAGGAAAGTGGTGGAGAGCTACTAAAATAAATTCTGAATAAGAACAAATTTTGCAAATGTTCCATAAAAAAATAACAACGAACGAGTGCGTGGGATGATGAGTGTTTTGTTTTCTGAAAGCCCAGCTTAAATTTACATCTTATAGTGACCTGATCCCCAAGGATTTTATAAAATTATGCATGATCCAGATCTTTCCAAAGTAGCATCAGGGTAACAGAGAGACCACATGGTAAAACAAAGTGACAATTGTAGAATCTTATTAAAGTGTTTATGTTAACATTTTTAATTATGAAGTTATTCTGGATATGATAGGATATTTTATAAAATAGCAAGTATGGAAAACCACAGATTCTTGAATGTTAGAAATTTAGTTGTCCTTTCTAATTTTTATTTTAAACTGAATGGCAGTCTTACACATATATATATATTTTTAATATTCTTAAGCAGCATGACTTTTAGATTTCTGTCTTTCTGACCAGCAATTTAGGGTACAGAATTTAGGAAGACAAAAGGAAATATTCATTTTAACCATATTTTCACTAAAAGTTTTTCATTTGCCCCCAAGGTCAAATTTGAAATTCTTAATTCTAATTTTATGTTCTATTTTAGATAAATATTCGCATTTACTCTTAGAATTATGCCATTTTTGTTCATAGTGCTGAAGCTTAGAGAACGTATTGTATGGTGCCTTGCAAAAATAGAAATAGAAAGGATTAGCATGCATACCAATGTAGGATATTAGGCAATATTTAAGCACACCTAATTAACAAATTAATACCAGTAAAGGTACTGCTGCTGGAATGAAGAAAATGGAATATGTTTCTTTCTTTTTTTCTATTGTTACATAATTACCATGTGGACTGGTTTATAATAATTGTGTGGAGTGGCATTTAAGATTTAACTGTAACAAAAATTACTTTAATTGCTATATTTAAGTTAGCATGTTAATTAATTGTGTAGACATTTTGGCACACCGTCACTTTTAAGTATATCAGACCAATGGTTTTGTGCCCATAATAAAAAAGGAAAAATCCTGTTGAATATTACACATTGATATCTTTAATTTCAACAGTGGGTTAACTGTTTTCCTGGTATATTATTCATTGAAAGCAAAATTGGTGGATTCTTTCCATTTAATTTATACACTAAATAAAAACTTTAATGTTGAACTTACATAATATTTAAAGTATAATGCATTTTCTTTTCTACTGTTTATGTATAGTTTACAAAATAAAGAATCTTGTAACCAAATCAACTGTTTCCTAATGATTTTTCTGGAGTATACATGGTAGCATGAAGGATCCATAATCTATTCCCTGATTTTTAAAATGAACATATCACAAATTAGCTTGGGAAGTTTTCTGTGGTTTTTGAATTTCAAAACCAGAGCTCTTGACATCTTGAATATTGTTTTTCAATGTATGCCCAAAGTGATTTTTATTGTTGGTTTGTCTTAATTTGTTACATTTGTCATATATTGCAAAGTAAATAATTTTCTTTGTTAAAGCAATATTTTTAAACCCATTTTTTGTGGTATCAAACAATATATTTAGCTACATTTCTAGCATTTTCAAGAGTGTCAGATAGCCTTGTCTCTTTTACAAATATATAGGCATAACAAAATACAACTGTGGATTGGTTGAGAAAAGATCAAAACAACAATTCTACCCACACATTTAACAAATTAATTCAAAATAACAGACATGGTGCTCTTGAAGTTAAACTATTTTCTAAATTGTCTCCTTTTAGACTCTCAGGAAAGCAACTAATTCAACAGAAAATATTAAACTAAAACATTAACATGAATGAACTTTATATACATCATTTTTATGTACAAAATATACTTGTATGTATGCATATAAAAATTCTATTTGTGATGAACTTTAGATCTCATGATCATACTTCATTTTAAATATTTTGCCTCAACATAATTGTACTTTTATATTTTTCATAAAAGTATAACTACTGGGCATCTGTAGTAAGCTAGTCACGCTTCTCAACACTAGAGATTCATCAGTGAACCAATAGTCTTGCAGTTAATATTCTAGTTTGAAGTACAGACAATAAGTCTATTTCCATTTCACACCACAACATAGTTGATGCTCCAGTAGAATAAATCCAACAGACTTTTTTTCCCCCTAGATTTAATTTAAATAGAACAAGATATTTTGAATCCAATTAAAACTCCTTAATACTAATCCAAAATCCTAAGGGAGAATTTTTAATTAAAAAATTTAACTACCCTAATATTTTGTTCTTCTTTAAGTTGATTCTGATTAATAGGCATGAAACCATGCTAAGGTGAGATATCAAGCAACATTATTCCAGTGTTATTTTGGAAAAGACACATGCAAGTCAAAAACTGCAGGATATTCAGGATCACAACAAATTAAAAATTAACACTGATGAAAATAGTAGAAAAGAAAAAATATCAATTGATTCTGATATATCACAAATCTAGTAGATAAAGTTATAAATGCTTTCTTATTTTTTATAGACAGCACAAACATTTACATATGCTGCAGAATGCCATTTGGAGAATTAAGCTTAAAATAAACATAAAGCATTTTAATATTGATCAAAATGATATGCAATCTAAGGCAAACCATGTTTCTGCCAATCATTTAATAAAATAATATCCAAGAATCCATAACCAAGAATATCTTAATTAATTAGTAAGACAAATATTAAGAGGGTATGCATTTTTTATATTAACCTAAAGAAGATATGAAAATAACTCATAAACATTGATCCTGTTTAATTAAAGCAGTGGCTCATTTAAAGCCAGTTTAGAATATTGCAAAAATAAACAACTGATTCATAACAAATATTTTGATGAATTGTTTATATGAAATCAATGCCTCAGCTACATGCAGCAGGTCATTCAGGACCTTGTACACAGATCACTTTTTGAGATGCCTAATAACAGAAGAAAACATGTAGAACCAAACCAAACCAAACAGAACCTCTAAAGAAAGTGAGTTTATTTTGCCTGTTATATACTCACACATTTACACACATGATTAGTCCATTTTTTTTCTTGCAGTTAAGAAAAAATGACTGAATTGACTCACATTTATTTCTCTTATCTCTTGTTCAGTATGAATAAAAAGACCTGGACTGTATCACAGGTTTTTCAATTGAAATAAAAGGAAAAAAACATGAGTCTAGCATATTTAAGTGCATGAAGATGTAAATAGCTGATGATGATGTGAATTCCCTGCAGTTTATTCTTTTCAACATTGTTTTAAACATAATAGTTGACACTGAGGTGAATATAATGGAAGAAGACATTTTCATTCCTTCTAGTACACATTTTTTATACTAAACAATATTAGCTTTTTACTCATCTTTAAAATATTTCATGAATTATAGCTTGAATTCATAAAATCTTTATCAATATTTGAGTCAATTTACACCTCAAAGAGAGCATCTTAAGCATTAACTCTGTACAGGGTATATGTCATCCCTCCTGGGGCAAGGCAATTTGAAAAAATCTTTCTGTATAATCTTTGTTTTCTCTGCTCAGTTGTGTATAATTTGTTCTATCTTTGTGGAATTTCTCTGTGTCCTTATACAAATCTTAGCTAGCAAAATTAGGATAAATCAATACATAATAAAACATGATTTAAAGTGACATAGTAAAAAGCTGTAGGTGAAAAATCTAGTTGAAAACAATAAGAAAAAAATTAGTAAATTTATATAATTATACCCATATTCACTAGTTCAAAGGCATCCTTTAGGGTTTATTTTTAATATATTTGTAATGGTAAGTCACCTTCTTGATATTTAGAAACATAAACAAACACACACTTGGGTTTACAGTCTTGCCATGTCATGCATTTCTCACTTGTTGAATGCAGTTTAATATATTCATCCTATAGGATTTCTGTGAAGGTTATATGTGATACAAATTCAAATCAAGAGCTTCTCTGTCACATATTAGGTGGGCACTGTTAATTTTTTCAAGTCTTTAAAATAGGTTAGTAAAAGTAGTCTTACTGAAGTTTGTAAGACATACTTCCAAAATTATCTTTTTTCCAGTTTTGTTTATCCAAATAAATTACTTAGCTTATAATACCCTTATATAACAAAAAAAGTGTCATAAATAGTGCTTGCATCATAAGATCAGTCTGAAGATAAAAAGAATTAAGTCATGGTGTCTGGAACACAGTAAATACCAAATAATTGCAATTTGTATTGCTACATATAGAAGTGTGGTATTCAAAATCACATTAAGATATGAAAAAATTAATTCCAAACTTGAAAGTCTTAGTGTTAGATTTACCAAGGATTTCTCAATTGTTAATAAGTATATTTCAAACTAATATTTGCCACCAGTTGTGTAATTTTGCCATATGTATTGTACATTGAATGGGACATGGATTAAATACACACAGTGATCTAATAGCTGTGTACTTTTTCTCTTGCATTTAAGATAAAGATTTGCAGAAATCACTGGCACTAATACCCATGTCCCCTCTCCTTCCTTGGCATATGAGGCAACATCCTTTTTTTCCCTAATCAGGTTGAGGTCTTACAACTAGTTCTAACCAACTCTCAGCTGAAGTAACTTGTGTGTTGACTGGCAGGGCAGATCACAACCACCAGTTTATATACAGTTGGGATTAGTGACAAGCTATGTGTTTAACCTGTTTTCCCAGTTCCATTTCATATAGTCATGCTACTTCCATATTTAAAATTGCTATCATTACATAAACCTTATTCCTTATTCTTATGTCACATACAACATGTTTTGAAAGTCAAATTTCTCCAAAGTGAAGCACTGGCACTAGTTAATATACTTATTTTTTTTTTGGGGGGGGGGGGTGGCGGTGCTAGGGATTGAACCCAGAGCCTTATGCATGCAAGGCAAGCACTCTACAAACTGAGCTATATCCCCAAACCCCAATATACTTATTAATGGAAGGAATTTACATAGCAGTATAGGAACAGCAGTTTCTGGAGCCAAATCATTGAACTCAGTCTTGTATTGCTTTCTGACATTGTACAAACTCTCAACTTACTTTACTTCAATTTATTCATTTAAAAAATAAAAACTAGAGTTGAGATTTATTTTACAACTTCATGGTGGAGGTTCAAAGATAATCCTAATAAAATATCTACCTCAAAAACTTAGCTATAGTATTAAAAAAAACACTAAGGAAAAAGAGTATGCATAGTGGTAAAAAACTTTGGCATACAGTTTGACTCCTGGGTCTTGATATTGGCTCTGTGGCTTACAGACGTTAGGCAAGTTACTTCTCATCTTTGTGGATCAGTTGCTTCATCAGTAAAAGAGATAAGATATTAATTCCTATCTCACTGGTTCAGTAAGACTATGGGAATTAACACACACACACAAAAAATAATAATAATAATAATAAAACACTTAAACAGTACCTGGCTACTTAATAAGCACTAATAGTAACTATTAAGAAAAGAAGAAGAAGAAAAGAAAAATCTATGAACCACTATACATAGAATCATCACATTTTTCTTTTCAAATGAGAATACAGAGAGTACTATCTTGGTTTCTTTATAGGAAAACTATTCCAGGTAAATTAGATGACCTCTAAAAATCACCAGGGACATCAATGTAGAAACCAAAGTACAAACTCAGCACCAACTCCTTCCTTCCTTCCTTCCTTCCTTCCTTCCTTCCTCCCCCTCTTTCTAAATTTTGTATGTGTGATTTGGGGGATGGAACCTAGGGCCTCACCACTAGAACACAAACACTCTAGTGTTGAGATGCACCCCCAGGCATCTCAGTACTGTATCATGTTAACTATCTTTTATTCTCTCACAAAAGTTCTCTCTTAAAAATGTACTTTTTATTGAAGGGATAAACTTTCAGACATTGATTATCTATAGTTTAAGATATCCTTTCCAAACGAATAGGTGTTTATAAAAATTTCTTAATATAATCTTCCCGTATCAGTAATTCTTGGTGTGTTTTCAATTGGGTTGTCAAATAATGCTAACTTTCATGAGAGTTTTTTAGCCCCTTTGAAGGTAAGATTTAGAAGTGCCTGCATTGAAATAAAAACAATAATTAGATTCTGTAAATCTGTTTTAGAATTTAGCAGAGGTTGCACTAGAGTGTCATTTTGAATTTAGACTAAAAAACATAAATTTTGCAGAAAACTTTAAAAATAATTTAACATTTTGTGGGAGGAGAAAAAAGTAGAGATAGAACCAATAGGGGACAGACAGATGAGAATGAGGTTAAGTGTATTATTCTATAAAAT